ATTCAGAAAAGTTATAGTGGCTACAAGTACTCGTTACAATACCTCCTTAAGAAAGGGAGGGGTAAAATGGTGATTTAAAGTAGGTAAAATGGTCTGCTGTTTATATCTTGTGCCTCATATTAATCAGTGTTGTATTTTTTTTAATTTGATAAAAAAAAGTTTGACATCTTTTAAATATGTGGTGAGAGTGGAGTGTATCCAGATGTTTGCTGAACTAAAGGACGGGCTGAGCCAAATGTATTGGGGGGGGGGGGGGGAACTGGCTTCTAATCCCAGATCTCCTGAGCAGGTGCTATTTGCGGGTCAGTGTCTCTTTTGATAAACTATAGATAGCTTATCCTTGGTCACTCCCTGAGAGAGATGGAGATGGCGGTGCTGGGAACTGCCATCAATCACGCTATTACATGCCCTGAAAACTCTTGAGGGTGAGAGCAAATTGGTGGCCCCAGTACTGTTGTTGCATCTCTTTCAAGGGTGTTACCATATCTGGGGATGAAAACTGTATGTTTTGCCCAGCTGTGCTCACCACTAAAGCATCCAACAGTAATAGCGATTGCACTGGTGAGATTTGGTGCTGGGGGAATTCTGTGCACAGGGAGCTGGAGGGAGGCCACCAATTCATTGCACATACATTATTTCTCTAGGAAACACAGCATAATTGAGGACAATTTTCCACCAGGAATTGCATCATTAGCCAACACAGGGAAAGTAAAATGCTGTTAACTTTTCTTTTTCTTCTTCAAAGCTGATGAGCTGAAGAAAATAGAAATAAAAAGTTTAATATAATTTTCTCTCTCTCTCAAGGATGTAAGTTGAAAATCAGAATCAAAACACTTTTTACACAGTAATAGAAATCCCACATTTTAATACATCGCCATGCACATAAGGAATCAAGTAATGCGGATACAAAATAGTCAAATGTACAAAATGATAAAGCAGATTTTCAGGCCTGATAGAGATCATGCTCATAGATACAGGGGGGCAAACATCTGTACAGTTTCATTTCTACCAATTTAAAAAGAATCATGCCCCCCCCATTGTCTTTACCCCCAAAACTAAAAGGAACATTATAAGAAAATATAAGGAGACCCAAAAGGAATTGGCAAGTTGATAGCTGCTTCCTAGTAAGATATGGAAATTGGTGGTTCAAAATTGTGGTGCACAATAATTCTATGTTTAGAGAAAACATTTCTAAACATTGTATGCCCTGGAAATCCAGGGAACGAAAATGAATGTCCAGCAGAAAAGGCACTCTTATTTCACCACCTAGCATGTTTGTGTTCACCGAAGCCCAGCCTGGGTTTTTTTTCAGGGTGCATAGAGGAAAAAAATCATAGTTGTGGGTGATGAATAAAGAAAATACTTATTTAATTAACTACTCTTAGGGGACTAAGAGAACTCAGACTGCTGGCTTAACTACTAACTTAAGAAAGCTAGAGAAATATCTACCATTTACGTAGGCTTTGTATTATGAAATGTGCTTGTATAATTCTGTGTGTCAGTGTCTGTAAAAGAGTGAACTAGTTGTGGTTTTTTGTTTTTTTTTATTTGATCTCCCTGTAGTCTTATCTTCATTTCACATTGTTTGATTTTCTTCTTTCTTTCCTAGAACAACTGCTAGTATACTATAGCTCATCAAGAAGTTATATGGCTCTCTGCTTCCTGTGACCCTCAGTTTGTCAATTTCACCCTTGCATTGGTCTTCTTGAACCCTGAGATCAGCAATCTTTTGGCACTAAGCCAAGTCCAAGGCTCTCTCTTTCTCTCTCCCTTGACTAAGTCATAGTACTCTAACACTTTGGGAAGTGGAGAAGTGGAGATAAATGAATGCCTTGACTGTGGGCTCTGTAGACCAGCCCCCAGATATTGGAAGCATATGTGGGCAAAATTGACTGTTACTTTCTTATCATTCTTCTATTCTTTTTAAATCCCCAAACGGAGCCGTATAATAATAGTTATGAGGAGAAGACAGAAATTAAAGGGGAAGGCTCAGTGACAAAAGCCTGTAGCCTGGTCACCATGAGAATTTCAGAGATTCTGGTAGTATAGGACACCTTCTCTTAGCTCATCTTAGCATGCAAACAATCCTGTCCGCTAAGGAAGGGCAGTTGGCATCCCTACCAGAGAGGCAGAAATCCAAGGCGATGGGCTATTTCTATCAAATTCGTGTATTCCTACCCTTTATCAGAGCAGTGCAGTGTCCACAAAGTCCCAAGAATAATTCAAGTATATAAACCACAACAGATCAATATTTTCTTTTCTCAGCTACTTTTGACGGCAAATATGTAATTTTGTAACGATATTGATCTTTTCTAAAATTTCGTGTATAGCTGTTTCATTTAGTGCCTAAAATATTAAATAGTTAGATTAACTGGAGCTACAGTAGTATGATTCAGTGACGCAAGAGTTTCGGTAGAATTAGTTTCAAAACACTTATCCTGGCTTGGCTTCTGTGCCCACCACGACCGAGACTTACAGGGCCAAGTCACGAACATGGCACTATTCGGCTCTGCAATGTGAGCTCCTTGAACTGGCTCAACTGTGGTCTTTTCAAATATGGCCACATAAGGATAGCATCTTTCTATTGGTGGAGGAAAGGCAGTGGCAGAGATTGTTCAAGTTGCCTACGTGTAAGATTGAATAAGTGGGACCCTAACTACCTCCAGTTGGGGCCAACACTCACTGAAGGGGCTACAGCTTCTCTTTCTGATGATTGGAGGTGGGAGGCGAATTACAATGAAAAAAGACAAAAAGTGCCAGTGTTCAAACATGAATACCCCTCCCCCCACATCTATAAAGAGGGGCCTTTCCCCCCCCCCATCTTTTTATTAAGGTACTATATGTGCACATATCTTACCATTGCCCCACCACCCCATTCCCGTACAAAGAGGGGCCTTTTGATGTGAACCTGGTATTGCACTTCAAAATCTCTGCAGCTGGTGTGAAGGGAAACCTATTCTTGGTCTTCTCTTGAATGCTTTGTGTGGGAACTAGGCATGGGGATTGTCCAAAGCGTCCACAGAGTGAGTATGAGCTCCCAGTGCAAACTACAAATGCAGTTGATTATGGTTAGAAAAAGGTACTGGAAATACATATAAAGAATGAGAATTAATTTAGGAATCATATAATCAAGGACCATGACCATACTCAATCCAAATCATATTTTTGGAATGAAGCTTAGAGAGTTTACTTAGAACTTCGGAAGGTGTCTTCATGGCATTTGTGCTATTATATAGAGAGGTCAGGCTAACCTCTGGGGAGATAGAAGATCACCATCTGTGCGTGGATAGGATAGGAGCAACCAGAAGACGCTCAAGGCATTTAATAACAAACTCCCCCTCCCCCCTTTAAGGTTATATTACAAAATCAGTTCCTCCATCCCAAGAAGTAATGATCCCATAAGAATCTCTCATTTTGCAATTTTTAAATGTTTTTTTTTTAAATTAATTTCTAGACAGAGAGAAAGGTAAAAGGATAGATAGAAACACTGATTGGCTGCCTCCTGCATGCCTCCTACCAGGGATCGAGCCCACAACCCAGGTATGTGCCCTGACTGGGAATCCAGTCAGTGACTTCTTGGTTCATGGGTCAACACTCAACCATTGAGCTACACAGGCTGGGCTCATTTTGCAATTTTTTAAAGGGTAAAGCATTTGAATACATTTTTATAGAATTTGGGTGGTGGTGGTGGTAATTAAATACAGGTCACAAAACAGATCCGTGTGCTCATGAACATCAACCCAGCTTAGAGTTCCACATGTGGTAGCTGTGTGTGTGCTAATGTGGCAAAGCCACAGGAAGGCAGCCCTTTTTATTTCCTTTGATCCAAATAATTTAAATTAGAAGGCTTGAAACAATGCAAGAGGTGACAAGCAGACTCCCCAATGTCTTAAATGTTTAAGGTATAGATCACCAACTTGGGACTGTAATTCAACCATCTCCTCGTCATTCCTGTTTCTCTCACTCTACACTTCAGGCAAAAAGGCCTGCGTTGGAGAGCCTTCCTAAGGCTCTGTAAATGTTTAAAGTTTGGAACACAACAACAAAACAAGCAATTAACCAAATGAAATGCCTGAACCACTGGCTCCAGTAAAAAGAATATTGTGTAATCAGAAATAATGTCTAACTACCCAAAACACTTAATATTATGTCAACCAGTCAACTGCAATTCAATGCAAATCAGATGGTCCCTCTGAAATTTTATTATTAGGTGTATGTTCCTGATCACTTCTGGTGCTTGATGGAACTGGGGGAAGGAAGCTCTGAAGTAAGAATGCTTGGAGAGCGTCAAGATTTTAAAGTTGCCCTACAAGGCGAATGAAACTCCAGATTTACAGAGGTGTCATTCCCCAGTCTTTGTGCTGTTGGGCAGGAGGTCTAAAACTGGCCCAATACTCAATGACACTTCCCCTTTACAATTGTTGCAGGTGAGTTTCACCCTAAAAATTTCAGATGTCAGAAATAGTGCTTGTCCCTAGCCCAGCTCTTCCTCTGAGGAGCTAAGTTGATGGCCTGAAGAAAACCAGCATGGAGACCATCCCTCTAGCCACCTTCCCAAATGAGAATCTGCAAAGAAGTATCTAGTTTGCTCTTTCTGTGGCAGAACCTCCCTGTGTACTTGGTCAGCTTTCTAAAGCATGCTTCCTGTCTCCCCACTAGAGTAATCACCAGAGCAACATAATGGAAACGTGATTCTCTTTGATCTTAAAGTTAAACAGTGGTACCGGAAATCATACACATTGATAAAGCAGAATTCCTAAGATAGTTTTCTGGCTAGAGGGTTAGATGCAGATCTAAGGAGACTAAGGGGTAGTGCTTGTCTTTGAAATAGTCCTATCCCCCCAACATCCCCTCTTCCCTTCTCTTTCCCCCAACACACACAGTTGTCCCCTAAGCCAATGTAGCTTTTGGACTGTCCTCTTTCATGATCTCATGGCCTCTTTTTTTCTTTAGTGATTTATTTATTTATTTATTTATTTATTTATTTATTTATTTATTTCTAGTGAGAGAGGGAGAGGGAGAGAGAGAAACATCAATATGGGAGTGAAACATTGATCATTTGTCTCCTGTACATCCTCTACCAGGGATTAAGCCTAAAATTGGGGCATGTGCCCTGACTGGTAATCCAAGCAGCAATCTCTTGGTGCATGGAATGATGCCCAAACAACTGAGCAACACTGGCCAGGGAGGGCCTCTTTTTAATTAGTAGCAATGACCAGCCATCCCTTGAAGATGAGAAGGTATGTCCCGCTGGTGTTTGGGCAGCAAGATTTCACCAAGATCAAGCTTACGAAGGAATTACTAGTCTGTCCTGGGCCAGGTGGGGGACATGTGGAGGGATGACTATGTTTTTCTGTTTGAGTTCTTTATAGAATACCCACAGAACAATGTCAAAAGTAGAAATTAAAACAGAATCACAAAACAAAGCAAAAAAGTGGGATGGAGGGGGCCGTGGGAAAGGTGGATAAAAACAAAAGAGACTATTGCAGCTTTAAGTCTAGGTGACAAGTAACAAAATTGCCCTAAAGAATGTAGAGAAAAACACCTCAAAGGATGGAGCTGCTAATGTTCTGGGAAAAGGAGGTTTTGGTGAAACTAAAGTGCTGGGGGATGGGGAGGGGGTCTCAAAAATCTTTCTTCCTCGAGACTTCTAGTGTTCCTACCCAAAATCAATTGGGTGATGTTTGCAGACAAATAGAGCATTGGCAAGTAATGAGGGGGTAAACCCATCTGAGTTTATCCTGAGTTTATGTTCTCATCTCATATTCCTTTTCCCCGTGAATGTTAAAAATAGCAGAATTTGCTTAGAACTAAGGTCTCCCCGCCTTTGTGTGAGCAACTTGGAAGTGATTCTGCAGAGACCTGTGTGCTGTTTACCCATATTTTGGAGGTAGCATTAGGTGTGTGGTAACACACCTCACAGAGCCTGAGCAGGATTTGAAGATGAGAAGATGCATCGTTACCCACAAAGAAAGCTCTTGGGGTCTCTACCCTGCTAGGTCTGTCGTAAATTACCAAAGCGATTGCTTTTTAGATGGATGTTCTGCATATTTAAATTCAGTTCTGGAGTTGGAAAAAGTTAATCCCCGTGGCACCCAGGGGAGTCTTGTAATTATTAATTTCTGTTCATTCCTAAGAGTGCTTTTTGTACATACTGAGTGTCAGCCTTTTCATAAAAGGGGTAGCACAGGTTTAAGGAGAAAGTTAGACATCAATAGTTCACAATTCTTGGAGCTTTGGGACAGCAACATATTTTTCCACACCTCCCTGTCTCCTGCTTCCTACTTAACAAAATTCACCCCAGCCATTTCTGACCTTCTGGAGGTCGGATTCCCCATATGCAACTTAGGAAAAAGGTACAGCACAGCAAAAAGGAACCCTGGGAAACTGCCTCAGCACATAACAAAGAATCCCGGGCCCTAGGAATGGCATCATTGCTCCATTTTGCTGGCTCAGCTGGTGACAGCTCAGATTTGATGGTCCCATGTTTTCAAAAGCATCCCCCAAAGTGATTTCAAACAGAGGTGGACAGTTTGGTAAACAGTTATAGTTCATCTGCAAATATGTGGTACTTGCCAGGAATTAAGGCATTTTTAGAGAAGCCATCTTCAATTGGGCTCTTTCATTGTTTTCTTCTTCTTAGTCTTTCCTAGCTCCAACTTCACTCACCACCATTTTTCCAGTACTCTTTTAACTAAAGAAAAGCTAGGAAACTCAACTTATTTAATTGTCCAGAACATATTTAGAAAAGCCAGAGTAAGTAAGGATGAAGATGAACCACCATCTTTATGAACATCTGCACTATCAAGCATGTCCAGCTTTCCTCCTCTGCCCCCTTTTGCAGGCATTTTCCCAGCTTCCTCTGGCAGGGGGTGAATGCTGTCCCAATGCTGTTGTCACTATGAGAAAGATAGGGTGGGGAGAGTGTTTGGGAGAAGGAGTCTTTCTAAAGTTGGAAAGACTCTGCCTTGTACACTGTTGCTGCCCCAGCACAATGTTTGGCACATAGTAGGTGCTTAGCAAATGCTTGCTAAATAAAGGGAAGAATGACAGAAGGAGAAAACCATGCTCTTGGACTTGAAACTGAGGAGATGGGCAGTCGACATTGGCATGCTATGTCCGGACGAGTTGACAGCAGGGTTTGTAAAGAATTGTGGTCTGTGAGGGGCCTGACAGTCATGTTTCTAACATGTTGAAGAGTCAGATCTTGGGGGTATCTGTCCTCTGAGTTCCCTCTTGGAAGTCCTCTTCTTTGGCACCACAACCTGACAGGTGAGTCACCCTATTGGGTGATTCACCCCAATCACCTTTGCAACTCTCTGCCCTTTCCTGTCAGGTTTCCAAATCTCAGGGTAAGCCCTTTTTTCCAGTGGGCTGTGTTTTCCTGAGACCCCCAGGGGAAGCAAAATGTGGGAAAGTGTGTCTGGTGACTCCCTAAAAGGCAAAGCTTGCTTGTGCTGGAAGGGTCCCAGAGTTGTTACATGTATTTTATAGAAAGTTATTCCATGTCTGTCAGTCCCAGGCTGAGGCCATGGGCACACAGAACATGCTTTGCTGAGATTTTTATTCAGCCACATTTATATTTTCAGGGGGGAAAAATGCTAAAGCATTCTGTAGGGTCAATTAATTGGATAATTTTCTAATGCTTAAAGATAAGCAATAACTGGATTGACCTTTTCCCCAGGACTGTGCTTTGTTGTAAGACAGTAAAAACAACAACAACTAGTTGTGGGTTTATACCAGAAAGAATTAACAGGAACTAGCAGGTTCTCTATTGAGGAGGAAACCTCGCATGACATTGGACCTTTTTCCTTCTTTAGGCACTCAGGAGTCCCTTGCTGGTTGTTCTCCCCAGAGAGCTATGATTTGAACTTGACCTAGAAAGTCTTCCATGGTTTTGAAGTCAGACCACTGGCAAACTGCATTCTGCTGCCCTTAACACCAGCCCAGCATGGTCTTCGATTAAAAGAAGGCCCATTTCCCTGCTTTTGGTTTGAAAGAACTCTTCCATAGTCTGAGAGAGCATGCACACTGGCCAAGAAGAAGCCTCCTGTGTTTCAGTGGTTGTATGTGCAAGCGGTTAAGTTGTGCCTCAGTGCAAGGAACCAGGAGCTAAGGTATTACAATCAGCCCACTTTTACCTCTTTGTGGGATCCAGTTGTTCAGGAAAGGGTCAAGAGGTTAAGTCTAACAGTATCATGGCCATATTTACACCGATCTACCATAAACAACTGGGGATATGCTAGGAGTGGACTTTGTCTTAGACAGTCTGCGCCAGAAATAAGATTTATAAAGGAAAAGAAAACACTTGTTTTCCTCACAGGTACTGAACGTGCTGATTCGTATCTCCGATAAAGTGCTTAAGAGTCGAACAGACTACTTCTAGATGTCAAAACTAACAACGATGGAGACATGTGGACATTCCTACCAGGGCATACTATGGTAAACACCTCCACTGAGATTGCAAAACTGCTGTATCTGTTGTCTAACACATCATGCCATCTGTGCACACAGTAAGAGAATCCAGTGGTTGCCATGCGGAAACAGGACTTCCAGGAAGGGGTACAGACAGCTCCCCAAAGGGTGCCGGAGGATGCACAGTGATAAAAAACTGGAAGCGATTTTCCAGTCAGTCTTCTGCCGATGACCGCTTGCAATGAGTCGGCACTGCATATTCTGCACCTCTTTTTCAAATCCACAGCAAGCTAAGATTTCCCAAAGCCCATCCACTTGACTGAGTGGGTGCTTCCCCCTAGTTAATCCAGTTCATCTGTCAATGCTCCAAAGGGATCGTCTGGCAGGGCCATGAGTTAGTCTTTCTGGGAGGAGCAGGTCATGTTCGTATCCACTGGCAGGACAGTAGCTTGGAAGGCTCACCATGTTTATGGAGAACCCTCAAGTGAGGCTGCAGGAAGAAACAGGGGGAGACACAATAATTTATTACTTTATGTTCCCAGGTTCTGGTAGGAAGCAGCAGTCATACTATTGCAACAAGCCCTAACATCCTTAGGTGAAAGAGAAAGTTCTGGCGAAGATACTGGTCACTCAACTCCAGGAGGGCGGCTTGGATTCCTGAAATGTCCTTCTACCATTGGTGGAGCATGGAAGGCATCCATCACAGGAATAGGCCAGGTGGCCTGTGTTCACCTGAAAATAAAAGACCCTCCCACAGGAGATGCAACCAGCATTTATTTGTGATGAAAAGAAAAAGCATAGCCATTTAGGTAAGCACTGATTCAGACAGAAGCCCAAATAGTGTTCCGACTAGTAGACTATGGCAGTAGGTATTTATGAGAAAGGGAAGGGAGAAAATTAAATTAATAGAAGGAAGGCATTTCTATTGATGCCAATAAGCTCATAGGATGATGCTGATTCCAAACAAGGATTTTAATTTTCAGTCCTGTAGCCATCAGGGAGTAGTCATCATCTCTGTTTCTTGTTAATGTTGCAAACAGTTCTTTGGGGCATGATGTTGCATTAGGCCCAGACCAGAGTCTGTTTTGCATTTTAAGATCCCAAGGTTTGAAGCCTAAACTGTGCGAGGTATCTCCTCAGGCACGGCAGCTTAGCTCTATTTTAAAGTGGCTCTGTCCAATCTTATTTTTTAACACCTGGAAGCAAGGGCAAAACCAGACCTCTGGGATTGGCATTCAGCCCTGGTGGATTTGTGGTTTGGTAAATTTTTTCTTACATGATAAGGAACGAGTGTGAAGGCAGGTTTTTTTTTTTTTTTTTTTTTGCGGGGGGGGGGGGGATATTGGGAGGGGGGTGTTGGGAGAAGGGGTTCATCCATCAGGAAGCTTTCCTGGGCTGAAACCTAGAAGGAAATATTGGGGCAGTGTGGCTGGAGCTCCTGAGTTTGCTACCTGAAAAGTCAGGCTGGCTGAGTAGGTTAGAGACCAGAGAGAGAAAGTCATCATCAACATCTGGTCAGAGACTGGGCTGCTTGAATTGCTTTTGGCCTTGGGAATGCTGGTGCAAATCTTGATATTCTAATTTTTTTATTTAAAAATTTTCTATTACTTTTATCTGGGTTCTCCCTACATTTCCTGTACACAGATCCTCGTTTAGTAGTTAATATAGACATGCGATATAATGTTTTTCTCAGAAAACTATCAACGTTAGCTTTGTTTAATACACACAATTATTGTGCAGTGGGAGTGGATGGCGAGGGTTCTTGAGGTTAAAAGCAAATCTACTCTGTTTTCAAACTGGCTTTTCAAACAGGAGAGCATGCACAATGTATAAGCACATGTTTGATTAAAGCTCGCTATTTTTGGAGAAAAAGCAAAAACAAAAGGAAGGTACTATTAAGCATACTAAATATAAAATAATAATACACACTACCGATAAGCCTGTAATGAAAGTGGAATACTAATATACTGCTGGTGGCATTGTAAGCGGAAGAAACAGCACCAATTTATTTAGAAACCATTAAAAATTCACATTCCTTGATGAAGTGATCCCATTCTAGGAGTATATCCTAAGGAAATAATAACAAAAAATGAAAGAAGCTGTATACACAAATATGTAACCTAGAGGTTTTGTATAATAGTGAAAAACTGGAAACAACCAGTCTCCTCAATGATGATGTGTTAACAAGATGGATGATTGCATGGGCACTAAAGTAATAATTATGATGATTATGGAACAACATGGTAAACAGTTATGATATACTACAATATAAAGCTTACACATACGCATAGCAAAGCACTGTAAGTGAAATAATGAAAATACTAGAATTTTTATTATTCTCATCACAATATTTTGCAAATCAACCACAAAAATTAGGCTCCCAAGGGTGCAGATTTGACCGGTGAGGATTGACTGACTATACTATATGATATTTGATCAGTAAGGGGTTGTTTTCATTAATTAGGACGAGAGGAGAAAATCGTGGTGTCCCAAGTAGGGCAAAGAATATAATGCGAGTGCTATATACACTATAGCATCCAAGGTTGTGTTCCCTCACTAATAGTACCTTGAAAATAAATACTTCACAAGTGCATTAGGAGATAATATTCTAATACTACTGAAGGGGGGTTAGAAAACACATGAGTAAAAGTCTTCCATGCAAGGCGAGCTGCAGGGGAGCAGTACATGGAACAGGAAAGATTTCTATTATAGGAACCAGACACAGTCCAGCCTCCGTAAGACCTTTGCTCAAGTCAGCTCTGGAAAATGAGCAACTTTGGAAAAGTAGGGTTAAGAATAAGATGTAAAATAAAACTTAAAAATGAATAATGATGATAGAGAGTGAATGCTACTTAACTACTATGCATCCCAAGTCAGGGTCAGCTAATAGTTATCGCAGTTGCTGCTTCTCCAAATAACCCCGTTTTCCACGTGAGCCTCTGATAGCTGATGACAAGCGAATGTATCTCACGTTAGCAATCACACTGATAGCCATGAATACGGGCTGAGCCCATTGCACTTTAAGGCTCTTCTACCTGTGGTTCCTCAATATGCTCCCTTTACATATCTGTGTGATGGGCCAACATTAGTCACTTAGGCTTCTGGGAACCCAACTCCTCTGCAGTCTCATGGCCTGGACGTCTGGATGGGTAGGGAAATGTTAGAGTCCAGTGACTAAGAGCTTTGGAATCAGGAGGATCTGGGTTGACATCCTAAGCTCATCACTCCCTAGTTATATAATGTTGAAACATGAATTTCTCAGTGTCTTCACTTTAAAATGGTGATCATAATCACCACTTCACTGGGCTGCTGTGGTGGTAGAAAAAGCACTTTGCGTGGTTTTTGGTGAATACTAACTATAAGCTAAGTGATGGCTACTATTTATTATCATCATCATTATTATTATTACAAATTCCCAAGGTTTCCTAGAGAAACCAGAGACACAAATGGGGCAGTGTTCTAATGCCAAAGCTGGGAGCCAGGACAAAGACACGATGTCAAGCCTTTGCGGCCTCCAAGAGATAACTCCCTGCCTGCCAAGGGCACAGTCAACACTCTGGCTTCCACTCTCCCCCAGAGGAGCACAGACTTTAACAGACAGTTCCTTGATACGGAGGGTTCACATCAAAGGCAGGAAGGGGCTGGCCTGGGAGGCAATGCTGGCCTTGCAGGGCGGTCAAGAAAAGCTCTGGGACCGAATGTGTCCACTCTACTTTCCCCCCACTCCAGCTGCAGGGGCTGAAGGGATCAGCGTGTCTGCGGAAGAAGCACAGCTACTGTGTGCAGGAGGCCCCGCCTCTCATGGGCTGAAGGGAAGAAATAAGACTTCACATCTAGAAAAGGCAGTGTGGTATCTCCCATTCAAAAAGAAGAGCCATATCTTCTATCTGTGTATTTTATGTGACTCAGGCTTGAGGAATTTGGGGTGGGCCTGAATTGCACTTAGATGTGGGACTATTTATATAAGGTGTGAGGTGCACATTCCAAAGGAGTGACACCCACAGTGGCCCCCATATAAGAGTCAGTAATGAGCAGAACTAACATTTATTGAGCAGCTACAATGGGCCAACTACAGTTTTACAAGTTGCCACTCATTGACTCCTCACTGCCATCTTTGAGCTCTAAATTGCATTATCCACATAACACACCTAGAAAAAAACTGAGACCAAGTTCATTAACTTCTCACAGCCATACTGCCAGAATGCATAGAGTGGAGACTAGTAACCAGATCCGTTCTGGTTACTAAGATTTCGTGGCTCGATAAGAAATGTGTTGGGAAAGCAAATTCCTTTGTTCCAAAGAGAACATAGGAGAGAAAGCAAGTAGTTGTGTTTGTATAGCTAGAAGAATGCTCATCAAATGTGAATCCTATACGTAAAGTACCATACATAAGATGTGTGACCTAGAGAAAGTAGGTCTTACTTAACAGTCTAAAATATTTCCTGTGTTTAGAGCAATGGTTCTCAACTGAGTGCAGTTTTGCCCACTGGGGACATCTGGCAATGCCCAAGACATTTTTGGTTGTCACAGCTTGGGCGGGTACTACTGGCATCTAATGGGGTATAAGCCAGGGACCCTGATAAAATATCCTAGAATGCATAGGACAGCTCCCTACTTAGAAAAATTATCAGGCTCAAAATGGCAATAGTGTGAGGTTGGTTTAGAGGATTCAGGCCCTTGTTTATCTTTTGTCCCTGGTTGTGAGCCAAATATATCACTCCTAAAATAGGCCAAGATAAAAACCAACATAAGTGTGCCTCTTGTGCGTACAGCAAATATGGCTAATTTCAAACCTTACTCCCCTCTTCTATTCATCATTTGCTCATTTTATTTGATTTTATATTCAATGTAATCAAAACCTCTAATATTAAATCATTTTCTAACTCTTAGAATCCTCACAGGCAAGCTATTATAAGAATCAAGATTGGGTGATTTAAACAGGTATGCTCAATTAATTAATTAGTATGTATGGGAGAAGTTAGGAGATAAAAGAAGGACAAAGGAAGATTGATGTGGCAATAAAACTAAACTCTGCTATACCAGCCCTTTGGTGGGAGGAGTGGCACACATTCTCAGTTGTACTGGTTTAATTTCTGCCACTGCCTGCCCCCCAACAAGTGGAGGGATGTTTGTCTCTAAGAGTATGATTAAGAAGTCAACCCTAACCCTGATTGCATGAAGACTGAGGTCAGAATCTCAGACACTATGGGTATCAGGATGTCAGTGGGCTTAGGGGAATATAAAAGGTGATACATACAAACTGTTACCTTTCCTAACACTGTGAGCCTGCAACCTGGTCATGTGTCCTGACTAGGAATCGAACCATGACCTCCTGGTTCATAAGTTGCTACTCAACCACTGAGCCATGCCAGCTGGGGTGTGAAACAGTATTCTGAGTGTGTCTGTAAGGGTGTTTCTGAGTGAGATTGGCATTTGAATCAGTAGACTGAGTAGAGCAGATTGTCTTTGCTAATGTGGGTGGGCCTCACT